TAATTTTAGTCTCAATAACGCGGTATATAATTTTATTATTTAAAGAGGATTAGCGGGCCATGATATCCCATATATGGATTTGAATGCGTTTATTAATTGTTTGCCGACCGCGTCTATATGATATACGAAAGAAAACTTTCTATTCAGTACGAAGCCTAGAAAATGGAACGATTTCATGTGCGGTATATTGGAGTCGTTAACGTAAAGTGGTTATCTTTTTCCCAGACAAGACTAGGAATTTTGTCCTGTGAACAGACAGCGAGACCTATAGAAACGTAGTAGTGACATGTAAGGCGGATTGTACGGCTTGTTTGGCTAAATAAGTTCCAGAGTGGGAGCTAAAAATAGTGAGATCACTTGCATATCCCAATATCGAAACATTCTCAGTTAAAAGGTTAAATACGTCAACATCGTAAAAGTTGAAAAAAATTAGACTTAGTGCTGACGCTCGTGTAGGATATCCTGTGTGTGGTGTGGTTATTGCTATTAACTAGAATGTTTTTTGTAGGGGTTTATATAAAACACTGCAAAATCTTGTTGGTAAAATTAAATAAAGTAGTGCAGATCTTAGAGCGAGAATGCTAACTGAGTCTAAAGCTGCTGAAAAATCTAGGAAACAAGCTATAAGGGTTTGACCTTTAGCTAAAAGTAGCTTAAGAGGGGACCAGAGGATAATAACGTTATTAAGAGTGGTTTTAGAGCGCCTGAAGTCGGGTTGGGAGTCATGGAGCAGATTTTGTGATTGAAGATGACAGTTCAATCCGTAGCATAATATTCTTTCAAGGATCTTCTTGAGAATGGAAACGGGGGCCATACTTCTGTACGAGTTGGTTTTTGCCGGTAGACAATTCCTTTTTTTTCTATAGCAATAATCTGAGAGCTATGTGAAATGTGGCAGGCATTGAAAATTTTGTTGTTTGTTGTATTCTTCAATAAGAGCTAACACGTTTTCAATGCCTACATTTTTAAGATGACCATTCCTCCTGCCGTCTATCGCCTTACTAACGTGAAGACAAACCAAATGAAAAACGTCTCAGAAGAAACTTCAGGATACTACTTCATACAACTCAATGCAGAATAACCATAATAATAATTATTCCTTTCATCAACAGGAACACTCCTTTGATAGATAAAGTACTGATGTAACTGTTGTGGAGTTGTGATAATTCTCCTAATTACCAATATGCAGATACATAGCAAAATCCCAAACCGTTTCTCAAAATCGAGGGTGTAATTAGAAAGCCGGTTGAGATGATAAACACTCTTATCAATGCAAGGTCGATCTTAGTTTCTATTTTATGCAAATAGGTCGTCAAATCACTATATGGGTTGCTCGGTTTTCATTAAAATGTGGCGATTTTGTCGATTTCTTTACGCAAATGGGTGCAAAAATTATTGTTGAAGGTGAATTTAATGCCAAACGTTGGTATTAAATTCTAGACTAATGAATCCGAAAGAAAGTAAACTTTACAAATCCAACCGCAGCAACAACTATTTTATTGTTGGGTTATAGTGGGGGCAGACCCGCAAACTTGTTATCTGACCTAAAGAAAATTCCTGACTTGCTGCGTTTTGCGGTGTGCTCTGGAAGTTGTGCTAATTTACTTCATATTTATTACACTGATGACCTTAATTCTGATCGCCCGTCGATTTCCGTCTTCAACATGACTTCCCACAATTTCTTATTTAAGTACAATAACATCAATCGTAAAACTGATAATGGGACTTTTGGAGAGTGGATCGATAACGATTTACCTTAATTTGAGTTTGAAAAACTCTTTTGAAATTGGCAATGCGGTAGAAGATTCTTGCTTACCCCAAAAATTTTGATATGTCAATAAATACGTTAGCCTACAAATAATACTCTAGCTTAAAAGAATTTGAGTGGAGCGGCAAAGAATCTGCGCTTATGTCTAATTGATGAAAGAGATGAACAAATTAAAAATTTTGCAATCACATTAATTCAGGTATGTTGGATAAATATTCCTTATGGAGAGCTACTAAATTGCCGATCAAGCGAATTGTTCATTTAAGAGACAAGTCCGGAAATTGGTGCAGAAATGATATGGAGCAAAATGAATATTTTGCTCGTTATCTAAAGGGACTTCAAGCACACAAAGAATTTTCCAATTTCTAGACATCCGCTTAGCAGAATATATCTGTTGCTGAACTCAAAGAAGAGGTGAGCAAACTTCACTTGAAATTCACTGATTATGATTGGATAAGTTGAATAACTATTAAGTCTTCCACATCTAAGGCTTTCATCTTTTTAACAATAATACTTTCGAAACGTGGACAAATAATGAACCTAATAAGCTAGAAAATGTTGTTGAATTGCAGTCAGAAATTAGGGTGGTGTTGCATGCCAAAACCTTCGACGAGAATGTATGATTAGCGCTTTGGTAAACGAACGAAGTTTTGTCAATATGATGGGATGTCCAATATCAAAATTGAAAGTTTATTTTTCAATTCTCTCACCAACACATATTAGATTTGTTGAACCAACGAATGACACAACTCACTGAAGCTTGCTGGCGGATGCGACAGTTTCTTTTGTCATCAATAGACTTGTGCCCACTTCAGCTGCTTAAATTAGAGCTGATAATAGGCTGAAAGCTTGTTACAGCTGCACAGCTGATAGTGAAATTGAATAATCTCAATGCTTCGATTCAGAAGAGATTTCGATTTATCTGTAACGAAACTACCATATTCTGTGCCAGAAATGGTAGCAGATGATTTCCTTATTGTTAATTGAAGTTGAGATTATGAGAAATTAAGCTGAGATGTTGAATCTAAAATGCTTTATTGTTGATATAGTCAACAACACATTTGACAATTTTAGGTAGAGGTTGTTTAGTGATTGATAAAGACGAAACAAGTAGAGGTTGCGAAGTGGTAGAAGTGGCAGACTGTGCTGTAGAAATAGACAAAAGTGAAGTGGATTCGATGATAACATTATCGAATTGCAGTAAATTATATGGTGTGGGTATTTCGATCACGTGAGAAAACTTCTTTGTCTAGTAGATGGTTTGAGACTTTGCCTGCCAAATAATTTTCCATATTTTCCAACATACGACACCGGTTATTCAGAAACGACCCCTTTGGAAACCATGTTAGAATGGTTTTAACTGACGGAGACTTTCCCCATTTAGTTCGTGATAGGGCTTTAAACTTTTTGGTGCTAAATGTAACAAGTATCCATCAGCAAATTGGTACAGATTGTAGAGCTACAGATTGTAGAGCTCGCATATAAGTCGTAAGCTTGCCATTGAAATAACGTAAGCTTACAGTTTATCGAAACTATTAACCCACAAATCTGCTCCATGTGTACCTGAGCAGAATTCAATGATGACGTTATGACCAAAGCAGCCTCCTTTAGACTAATGCAAAAATTGTTTTACTTGATTTTTGAAGCGAAACGAACGATAATATTTATCGGTTAAAATACCGAAAGTTAAAGGTTGTTGAATAATACATGTGCATGTATGTGAAAATCAACTACTACAGCCTCCTTATGCTTGTATGTAAGTGAGAAAAAGATAACTCATCGCCACTTAACACTAGTTGAAAAGCTTAACATTAATATTTTGTTTACATGAGCAAAAACAACCAATGATTCGCAAGTGGGCCGTGAACATATCTAAAATGCTCTCTTTGATGAATGTAATTAGCAATATAAATTAAAATGAAAAACGTCAGTATATATTATATATGGCATTTATCTTGTGCTCAAAATTTTATAGAGAAATTAAATGTTTTATACGAAAGCAATTGGACCTTGCTGGTACATGAACAATTAAGACGATTCGAGGGCACTATAGTAGCGGCAACACGTCTGGGCGCAGCCAATTTACTCTTATCAGCTGAAATATCAGAAAATTCGTTAAGTCAGTTTGATTCATTGTTCGTCGCTGTTGGCAATGGAGACCCAATGGCTTGGTCCTTCAGTGAAGCTCTTCTGTATTCAATAACAGTGATAACAACAATCGGTAAGTAGCATAGAGATGGAAATAAAAAACAAATTCAATTTTATTTGTCTATAAAATATTACAAGAAAATAAAGAAACCAATTAAAATGATTAAATTAACGTTTCTTTGAATGTTTACTACTCTTGCAACAAATATTTCAATATTTCCATTGCAAAAACAACAGGACACGCCAGTCTGACACCACGTACAGCTGGAGGAAAAGTTGCAACCATATTGTATGCTTTAATTGGCGTGCCATTGATGCTGATGTGTCTCTCCAGCTTAGGAACTTTGTTGGCTGGTATTTTACATCATACGTATATTCGCTTGTATTGCAATAGGCGCCAATTCCATGATGCCACACCTGAAAGAGTCATGATGGGTAGACAAAACAAGTGCTTAAAGGTCGAGAGCGATTTGAATGATGAGGGAATTGACCTGATCAAGCAAGAATTTGTCCACTGCGATGATGCTCGGGACGATAAGTATATGGTACGTTTTTAATAGTTATGTATTCCGAAAGTTTGTTTCTGTCTGCGTATGGTAAATGTATACGTAGCTAACCTGATGCAAGTGATTCTAAAAACTTTGCTTTTATTTTCGTTTGCAATAGAAGTGTTTGTTTGTTTGTTTAGAGATGGATTGGACCAGTTAAGTTAATGTTAGATCCATAATCCAGAAACGAAGTTGAGAGGGATTGATGAAAAAATTTAAGCATAGGTAGACTGATGTAGCAGAGTGTTCGCAATGAGAGGCTCTGTTCCGCTGTCAATCCATAAATCACCGTACTTGGTACTGTACTGTCAAGATCCGGCTAATAATGCCGATAAAAGAAAAAGTGTAGGCGATTCGTGATTGTAATAGAAATACTAAAAGTAAAATTAGAATGAAAACTCAGCTAATTTGATAAAGGCAGTCAGTTGCTTCAAATGCCTAAAGTTACCAGCACGAAAAATTTCATATAAATTGTTATACAGGTTAAATATACTGAAAGATTGTCTAAGGATGTCAAACCTCCTGCACTCAAAAATAAAGTGCTCGGCAGACTCAGTAATATTGCGTTCCTCACATATGTCAGAGGAGGACACTTTGATCATTTTAAAATAGACCTTGTCGTAGGTGTGATTACTCATAAGACGGTGAAGAACTTTAAATTCCCATGTTCTGAATTTTCCTTTAGGTAGAAGCGTGGGTGTCAAAAAAGGGTAAATTTTGTAGAACAGCCGATCACTTTTTTCTCTAGCTAAAACATGATACTCATCTTTCCATTGTTTTATGATGAGTTTTTTGACTAGCAGAAAAGCTTCGCTGGGGGGGTAGTTTATGGACAAAACTGTACCATCGAACCTAGCTTGACGAGCATGGAAGTCAGCTTTTTCATTGATACTAAAACCGCAGTGGCCTGGGATCCAGATGATGTGGCATTTTTCAATACTTGGGTCTTTTAAAAGGTTGTAGATATCGAAGACATACTTATTGAATTAAAATTAGAGCAGATTTGCTGTCAGAGAAAACTACAAATTTTTTCAGCTTAATTTCTGATGGATGGATGATTGCTTGTCTGATGGCCAGAAGTTCAATGAAAGTGGATGATAGTTCTTGTAGAACTTTGAATTTTCCTATAAGTAAGTTTGGGTATTCAATAATTGAAAAACTAGAGATGTCCGAATTGATAGATCCATCCGTTGCGTATATTTTGAAGTTATTTTCGACGAAGTGGTTAAGTTTTTGCAGACAAGCGATTCGAACACAAGACCCTGATCGATTTTTTTTTGAGTTGGTGATTGAATTAAGTAAGTTTAATTCAACTACGCATTTATCATGAATAATATTATTCCAGGAGGGTATAGCAATAGAAGTGTGACTATGTTTACTTCTTTGAGTTTGTTATTGACAATTATTTCCTTGTTTATATGCGAAGAGCCACGCGTTTGTTATTTCACCATATTTTGTATATGTGTAAAATATGGATATGTGGTAAGTTTTCCTTTTGGAACATTTTCACAAAAACCGTTTGAAGAAAAAATTGATTTTGTTTTTGTCTTTGGTATAGTGGTATATGTGGTCTTGAGTTGTTTTGTGTTAATACATACTCAACGAGCTGGTGAATATTTTGCAGCGATTCCATGCGGTGTAGGGCAAAAACGTTGTAAACTCAGACTAGCGGTAACGCCTTACAGATCGAGGGAATCAAATTGGTTTAACATACAATTATTCTATGGCAAAAACTTATTCCACCTTCATGACTGAAATAAAGACAAAGAAAATTTATAAATGGCGAAACATGGAATTTTTGGATTAAATAGTACATCCAACTTTAATATCCTTTTTCTGATCTGAAATCTGATGCTATCAGCTTGCCAGGCAATTTGAATTTAGTTAGAATTGTGTTGAACGATGGCCACACCACAGTACATGGATTCTACAGAGGCATTCATACATGCATTAGCATTCTTTAATTGAATTGACGCTTTATGTGGAGAGAGTTGTAATCATATAGTATTTTGTGCCATCACAACCTACTGCTGTAGGTTTCTTCTCGTTAATAATATTTTAAAGTTAATTGCTAAGAGAAAAGCAATAGCAGCATTATTGGCTTTTATATAATTTTTTGGCAAGTTTAGATAGGCAATATTATTGTTAGAATTCCAGAGTACCATTTTGCGGTACTTGGTGATGTCCTTTAATAAATTTCCAAAAGGCTTTGTAACGCAATGTCTGTAAATTCTTCCTTTCTGTCTAAGTATCGAATTATGGATTTTATAGTTTAGGACCACACTTAAGTGCCACTTTAAGAGGATCTGAGGTCGTAGAGACGGACTAACGAGTCCCTCCTGAGCTAGCTAATTTTGGGGACATTAGAGGGAGGTTACATTTTTTGTCCTACACTATGCAGACACTTGCAACTAAGGAATATACGTGCTTTCGCTGATAAGATCAAACGGACGGACGAAACCTACTTACCGAATGGGCAGATTTTAAGTGCTGTGTCCTTCTGTATCCTATCTTACCTATGGTCTCTTTCGATCCATTATTTTAATATAAAATATTCTTTGCTTTATTTAGTATTCGATCATCAAACTTTAACGGCAATATAAATTGAGAATTGCTTTGGCAAGTGTTAGTGAATTTAAATACAACGTATTCTTATTTAATCACTTTTATCATCCATCAGACAGTATAAAATTACAATTTTTGGTGGATAAAGTCAATTTTTAGTTTATCATTTTTAATTCTGTTTTTATTTTCCCCAATTTTTACTTTTCGTTTACGTCATCCTTCCTTGTGCAAATCAATCAGTTACGATGTATTCAATATGGCCTTAAATATAAGAAAAATACCACACAAACATTTAAACAGACATTTATTCAAACTTTTCAGCAATAATCAAGAGTCTTTATTCCAATCTTTTAGATCAAGTTTAAATCACATGACGTTTGGCAGTTTTTTCTTTTCCTCTGTTGTTTGCTACAACAGCAAAATTCAGAATTTTTAGATTACCATTGTTGTCGTCTGATCCACACAACTCACTGAAAATAAAAAAATCAAAAGCATTGCTATTTTTAATTAAAGCCTAAAAAGCAGCGAATCTCTTTGAGGCTTTGAATGTTGTATTGCAGGAATTTCATAGTAATCACGAGCCATATATAGGCTCTGAGAGGATCATAACGCAGAAACACTAGAAGTACATGACGTGGCATCGAGGTTTTTTTTAAAGCAGTAATTTTTTATAACGCGATCAGTGGTTGTTTCCGAATTGAGATCAGAAATGAAACTGATTAAAGAATGTAAACATTTGTCATATTCATTTGTTTTAATATTGTTTATTCTGATTTGCAGACTTGGCAAAAGAGTAGGTACTTGCAGTAACTTTGATAATTTTTGACATGAAAGAGGCATTTATTGAGAAAAATTGATAGAATATATAAATCAAAATATTTTCTGTCGTTTTCTACAACTTTTACCAATCCTTCTGGTAACATGGCGACAGCGTGTCGAAAGAACTTATATTGGTTTGGCAGCGATCCAATCATCCACTCTTTTTCGCACTTCTTCAACTTTGAGGCGCTGCGTGCCACCTATGTCACGTGCTGGGTGTGCGCAAGAGGTATTCAGAAAACGCCATGTCCGGTGAATACGCTTGGTGGGGCAGAACTCCTCATTCCAGCTGTAATCCTTGACGACTGTGCCGACAAGTGGCCAAAATGGCACCTTTAGTCAATTGGTGTGGTAGCCATTTCATTCGCTATTCACGGAGTTTTTTGCAACAATACATCGTTTAATTTGACCAATTGAAGTCGGCACATATCTGCAGGAACAATTTCATTTGGTTTTAACTGTTCACAATGCACTACACCTTACTGATCCCACCATATGCATACCAAAACTTTGCTGCATGAATATTCCGCTTCGGGGTCGATATGGATGGCTCTTTTGGACTAACCCACGACTATTTGCTCTTGGAATTGCCGTGGTAGATCCACTTTTCATCGCCAGCTCCAATTAGACAAAGAAAACTGTTCTTCCTTTGCTTGGCAAGCAATGAATCCACAATCTTGAAGCGGTTCGAAATGCCATTTTCAGCCATTTCGTAATCATTTTCCTTTCTTTTTCATCTTTCTAATCGCATATAAACAGTTTACTGATCAACTGCTAAGATGGTCGAAAGTTCTTTGGCAGTTTGAGCTGGATTTTCGCCTAATTAGTCTTGCAATTGGTTTTCTAGGAATTTTTTTGGTTTTCCAGGCCGTGCTTTATCACTGACATGAAACCAAAACCTAAAATTTAAGTATGATGAAGCAGTCGTTTGATTTGATAAAGTTATTGGCATCACGGGTAGAACTAAAGAGGTGTTTTGCTCTAGCGGTACTAATGACCTTGGATAAAGCAAGACTGCAGAGAGCAACACGAAGTCTCTTATCATATTCATAAGCAAAAGTTTGAGAAGATACGAAGTTTTGCATCATTTTCATTTCTTTTGTTTCTGAAACCACAAAAACTTTTCCTTTCTCGTATTCATCATAAAATGAGATTTGAGGAATAGTCGAAGAGGTTACATTAGTTTGTGGCACCTATATAGTTGAAATAGGAGTTAGTTGATTTGTGATAGAATTGTAAATTTTTTGGGATTTAAATTCCTCATTTTTCTATTTGTTATTTTCATAGATAGCTATATTAAAAGATTTATTGCCCATTAAATTAGGAGTCAACCGGCAAAGTATTAGTTGGGGACATTGGTGAGACAATCAGATCTTGGTTGAAATATTCTAGTATGTGTTTTCGACGCAAAGGCAACTTGTTTTTCACTTCAGGTTGAACACCTGCGTGCCATGGCCATCTTTGGCCTTGTGCTTCAGCAGCAAAACACGGGCGATCGCAGCTGTAATTGTAATAAAAAAACAAGCTTTCATTATGCTATAATCCACAATTCAAACTTTTCCATAATCACTACACAAGCTTACGAGACGGGCACTTTAAGTACAAACAGCGTTAAAGTCGATCAA